ATCAAAATTTTACATGCGTGTTTTTTGAGCTCAATCGATTCCTTTCGACGTAAGAAGGTCAGAAATATGCATTTATAAGGCGTTTGGGTCAATAAGAGGGAAGAAATCGTCGGCTAAAGTTCGTGAACGCTCAAAAAACACTTAAAATGTGCCGAAAATGTCTATTATTTCGGATCTGAAGCTTCCACCATGTTTTTTAGTGAGTCCGATGCATTCATTGCGTCTATGAGCTGAAAATGATGTAAAATTTAAGACATTTTGAGAAAATTTTAATTTTTTCAAAAAATCGACCCCCACCCTTGGAAAAACTTCGTACAAAAATCAAAATTTCACATGCGTGTTTTTTGAGCTCAATCGATTCCTTTCGACGTAAGGTCAGAAATATGCATTTATAAGGTGTTTGGGTCAATAATAGGGAAGAAATCGTCGGCTAAAGTTCGTGAACGCTCAAAAAACACTTAAAATGTGCCGCAAATGTCTATTATTTCGGATCTGAAACTTCTAACAAGTTTTCCAATAAGTTCGATGCGTTCCTCGCGTCCGCGTGATAAAAATGATGTAAAATTGAATACATTTTGAATTTTTTTAAATTTTTTGTCAAAAAAAACCAAAGTTTCATATGAGTGTTTTTTGAGCTGAAAAACCGCGTTTTTCCTAACGTTTTACTGTAAAATACTGACAAACCTACTCTTTCATGCAAGAAAATTAAGACATCGATTTTACAAAAAAACTCGTCGATTTTATTTGGATTCAGTTCTGTTGCAGGGAAAATCTAAATGACTTTTTTAAGTTGTTTGAACAAATTAGTAAAACGTTACTGAGAAAAAATGTTGATGACCTTTTTTAGATGTGAAAATTCCAGTCTCGGGTCTGGGTTATAACTCGTTAACTCGGAGAGCGGCAACAGCGCAACTCAACGCCTACTTCTCGTATGCTGCGGTCTCTGAAAAATCGGGATGATAAAAACTCAAATTAGCCTAAAATGGAATATATTAAAAAATACATATAAACCACAATACAAAAAAATGGAATGTATAAAAATTGCACACAGTCAAATAGAAAAAAAACATACAATAGTACGTATGGAATGCTTCAGGTTTATAAAAGACGGAACGGAATAAGTACAAACACATTTGTTGTCCGACCGAAGATACAAACGAATTATTCTTACAATAATTGATGATCTGGACGTCCCACCATAGTTAAGTACACAATTTGAAAACTCACCGGAAAACCGGAAACGCCAGACCACCAATTCAGCTACCGCAATGAGATCTTACAATAAAATACCGACTAAAACATTTATATACAAATCAAACTAAGAAAGCTTTAGGCACGCTTCGTTAATCTCTATCGCGAAATAATCGGGAGCTACAGGGTGAGCCAGTTTATACTCACCCGCTTTATTTTATCAGTGGCCAGTATAAACGCCAGACTCACCCTGTACTAAAATATAAAGTCTTCAGTTCTTCTCCTTGGCTGTCGAAAAATCTACAGAAAACTACAATAAATAGTTATTTAGCTACCAATTTAATATCAGATGAGTATTCAAATGGCAATTGAGAATCACACCGCAATTAAAAAAAATGCTGTTTAATGAGTCGAAACATGCTATGAAAATATCACTATCCTCGCTCCAAACACTATAAATTGTTAGCAAAAATACCGTCAAACCGGAATGAGCAACTTTAAGCCCCCTGACCGTTCAAACCAAAACTTGAGTCGATTTATTTACACTGTTTTAGATGTTCATCAGTTACCTATCAATTAGAAATCTCTTTATAGCCTACTTATCTTAACTGCCAAGCCTCTTATGTTGGGCTACAATGCCCCATTGCCTATACAAAAGCACATTTGGTTTAAAACTAGACACCTTCCAATTCCTGCGGCCTTTCACACCGGTGTTTCCTCATCCTTTTCCTTAATGCTGAAAAGTGTTACACGATTAAAATGAGGACTTTTGCAGCTCAAACCATCACTTGCTCACCTCAACCAGCTGTTTATTTGTTAACTGTATACTCCCAACACCACCTATAAATTGTGTTAGTGTTAGTAGTTAATTTTTTATAGTATGCAACAATTTTTTGCTATCGGTTAGTTCAACAAACCATACAAAAGTAATGGAAGCAGCAAATTTTTCAACAACTTACGAAGATGGTTCTGGAGGCAT